GTGATCTTGTATTTTTGTACCGTTCCCGCAAACCTTTTCTCAGTTCTGTTAACGTTGTCAAACCACTTTTATTTTCCTGATACCACTGCTTTGCTTCAAGATCAAGATTTGAATAAATTGTTTGATACCGTGCTGAATCATCCCCTTTCACAACATCGCATGTGTGCTGGACTGCTTCTAAAAATTCGTCGATGGTTTTCGATCCATCGCCTGGAAAACTGCATATCTCTTTATATTGATTTTGTAAATTTAAAGTTGATAAAGCATCAGCCATACTTGTCTCTTGTTGTACTGCTGTGATATGTTGCTGTTGCTTTTTCTTTGAATTAGTAATTATATCATGCGGCAGGAGGTCTGAATCATTTTCAAAAACTTGTTTTCGCGTACCGCTAGCCGTTGTTAATTTAGTTATTGACCGAAAACTTACCAGGGCAAAAGTAAAGGTTCACAAAAGAAAATAGTATAATTAAAAAATAAATCAATTTCTTATTTCTATAGTTTTGAGCTGACAATGAACATTTAGGGCTTTTCTAAAAAAAGATACTATTTTTGAATTTTATTGTGTGTTGTTGTCTATAATAAATGTCTTTTCTCCGCTCAAGAATGTCAGTTAGAATTTTATCAGCGCCAATTATGATAACAGACCCCTCACCCTCACCCTCACGATTGCATAAGAAATCATCAGATCTTATAAGATCTTCTAAGACGTCTTTCACTTGGAGTTTAAACTGCCTCTATCATTATATTTTATTAACTATAATCTGAATAGTTCACAAATTACTCAGACTAACTTTAATTGTTGGACACTTACATTTTTGATCCCGGAAAAAATGTATAATTGATCCCGTATACAAAAATTCTTTCCGGCCAGAAACATGAAGTTTCTGTGGAGAAACTCTTATTTCTTGCGGAAAGGAAACGAAGGTCTAGTGGAGAAACCCGGATGTCTGGAGTAAAAAACATGAAGTTCTAGTGGCGAAACTGTTATTTCTTGAGGAAATGAAACGAAGTTGTTATAGAGAAACCCGGATTTCTCGCAGAAGAAACATGAAATTCTTACGGCGAAACTCGGATTTCTCGGATTCCCTCACAGAAACTTCATGTTTTTCCCTCAAGACATCCGGATTTCTCCACTAGAACTTGATTTCCATTCCTCAAGAAATAAGAGCTTCCCCGCAATATCTTCATGGTTTTTCCACAGGAAGTCCGAGTTTCTCCACTAGAACTTCATGTTTTTTCCTGAAGAAATCCGAGTTTTGCCGTAAGAACTTCATGTTTCTTCTGCGAGAAATCCGGGTTTCTCCATAACAACTTCGTTTCATTTCCTCAAGAAATAAGAGTTTCTCCACAGAAACTTCATGTTTTGACGGACACTATCAAGATGTTTGATCTATACAATAAGGCATCAGATGGAAAAACAAATGTTAAGAAGACCGAGGTTTTCTGGATTAGTGACTGACTACCACCACCAGCATTCCTAGGACAAGTTAAACTTGACAGCAGCGAAGCATAGCGCATTATAGTAATAAACTGCGTGTTTACTTTCTAGGCTACAAAACTGTCATTTTCTGTAACGATTTTCTCATAAACTAGAAGTGCTAGCGTAAAATTTTAAACGGGAACAGTGAGCTGCTAGGCCGAATTAGTAAATGTCCTCTTTTGAGACTTTGTTACTAATTCAGTCATTAACCAGAAGGCTTGAAAGAAGGTGTTTTGAACGTTTGGGACCTACAGTTTTTCAAAAAAAACGGATAATTAATCTGAGTCATACTCGCACTTTTAAAGCAGAGTGCTGGCATATCATGTGATTCACTTTATGACCATGCTCTGTACGTATTCAACGAATAATTAACGTAATGACTAGCCACTAGACGCTTTACTGTGTTATAGATAATAACGCAGTGTGTAGGATAAAGCCAAAACTCAGCTTGTTTCTTTTATTCACAGAGTGATACTTGAGCGTTTCAACAAACATTTTGAAGCTTAATGATTCAGTAGCAGAAAAAGACAATTACTCTTTTACGTGACTAATCTACACTTTATGCAGTTCTTTCCTGCGAACAATACTGTACAAAATTTAACAAAAAAACTGAGTTCTCTGTTGCCATATCCTTCATTCTCTTGTTCCTGCTTCGCACCGCATTCGCAACTCTCACTAGCGTGATTGCCGCCTTGTTTCTTATTAGAAATGCTTAGAGACGAAATCAACAAATGTTGCCTCTTACTAGGATGTTTTCAAAATTTTTCGCTCCCCAGTGGCCTTCTATTCTGGGCGAGGGGAGGTAGTTCCAGAGATAAGTTTCTGACAAGGGGAGGGGGCTTATGGAATTATAAGTTGCTTAAAATCAAGTATAGAAACATAATAAGAAATACGATAAAAATTAACAAAAGGAATATAGAGATGATATTTTCTAAATTTGAAGGATAAAGATACCGCACAAGGTCAGCATTATCAACACTATATGATAACATGTATACAGAGTATTGTAAACTGTTCGCGGCTTAGAGATTGACAGCATGTATAACAATGGGAAATTTTATATATGGGTCCTTTTTATGCAATCCTTTTAGAAAAATGTGTGATACAGCGATTATAATCGATGCAAAGCTACGGCAGTGATACAGAAATGGGTAAAAAATATCCTCGTGATAATAATTGACAATTTTCTCCTTTGTCTCGACGATAAATCTACGCACTACTTAGTAATGAAAACCTTTCTTGTACATCTCACACAGGCAAGCCAAATTTTTGACTATGAGTTAGAGACTATAGGTGCTCTTCATTCACTTCGCATAGTCTACATACATATGTGTAAATAAGCTATTACCTGTCGTCCTTTACCTAATCGTCCTTGCTTCTTATTCTTGTTTTTTTGTAATCATAATAACAAGTATTTTACATAGTATACGCCACGTGCAACGACTAGAATGAGTGATTTTGCTGGTGAATGCTTGTTCTGTCATAGCTCTTTTACTACCACCAGTAGCTGTAATGTTAGTCCGCGATAATGGTATGTTTTAATATTATTGGCACTAATTGGATGGGTATGTAAAAGAGATATTTAAAATCATGAAAAAATATGTCATTTCATTTCATTGCTCATTTCTAGTTTTAGTTACCCGGTATGATTCATGCATTCATCATCATATGTTGTTGTTTTGGATATGATAAAGTTTAATATAAACTTATTTGAAGATTTCGTCGTGCTAATGTGGATTCATTTGGTTTAGTTTTGGCAATTGATATTTCAAGGTAAACTTAATAGAAAAGTAAAGCACGATGCCAGTTCTCTCCATACTGACGAGGAAAGGATACCAACTGTCTAATCGCTTTTAGGCAAAGACTCACTGGACAATAGGTAATCGGGTGTGCTGAATCCGAATATGACAATGGTTTTTGCTGCTAGGTCTTGGAAGACTGAGATTCCTAGAAAATCAGAGTTTAAGGTTGAAAAACTTTTTGGGGCCAAATTTTTTTTGATGCGTTCAAATGCAAGAGCACTTCGAAAAACCTATGAGAAACTACTTTTCAAAATTTTTGGGTTTTGTATAGGTCAAAATCTAAAATACAGACGGAAAACCGGTAGTTCGTTCCTACGCATTTTACGTAAGAAAGACTCCGGTGACTAGACAGAAGACCTCTCGTAGTCAAATTCGGAATCAGCACACTTGATTACCTAGAAATCACTCACTTTCTTACGTAAAATGCGTAGGAACGAAATACCGGTTTTCCGTCTGTATTTTAGATTTTGACCTATACAAAACCCTCCAAAAATTTTGAAAAGTAGTTTCTCATAGGTTTTTCGACGTCCTCTTGCATTTGAAAATTTTGGCCCCAAAAAGTTTTTCAATCTTAAACTCTGGTTTTCTTAAGAAAGTCAGCACCGATTATAATAGCAAAATTGTAAGACGATCATGAATGTCACATATGCGCTATATCCAAAGACCTATGCAAAACCAGAACTGAATTCAGAAGGGCGACACTCTTAACAAGTGCATTAATATTTTCAAACCTTTGAACATCATGAAAATCATCAGCTGTAGCGTTTTACTAATTCTTTTTTTTCTATTTTAATTTTAATTAATCAGAAGTTACCTTTTGCTTTATATTATTTTTTCTACAAATGAGCATAAAGTTACACAGGTGAGAAGACAAAAAATTTTTTGAAAAAGAAAAAGAGTTTTGAAAATACAAAAATGAAAGAATAATTAAATAATAGCAACCAACAAATACACAATCATTTGTCATCCCGATGCAAAAAGTGATCGAATATGATCTGAAGATGCGACGGCATATGGCTTATATCCATCGTAATCACAAATATTGGCATCGGTTCCAAGATCTAATAATAAATTTGCACAACTATCATGGCCACAGCTTGCGGCTAAAAAATAATAAACAAAAAAAGAATTGCATTATTTTAATATCGAAAACATCATCGTAGTTAATTACCGTAGTGTAACGCCGTTTGTCCTTCGGCATCTTGAATATTCATATTGGCACCTTTTCTCGCTAATAAACGAATCATATTTTCATCGCCACGATCCGTAGCCCAGCGGAGAAGCGATAGTCCCTGCTCAAAACCACATGACATCGGCGAAGAAATTAGATGATTCTCAAAATAATCATGCTTACCAACACATCCAGCTCATTAATATCAAAGCCAGCAGTCAGTAATTCGTCAACACGTTGTAAGTTTCCTTCTTGACAAAAGTCAAATATTGTTTTATCTTTATCATCTATTTCTTCCTCATCTTTTTTGAAACGACTCACACTAGGTCCACCAGTACCACTGGATCTTGCGTTCTAAATCATTAATATGATTGTATAATTATATAAGAAGTTCTTTTACTACACACTGCATTAGTAACATTATTAGTCCGTTTTATGTGATTCACTTTTTCAATATATTCATGTGATGCTTGCATTTTTGATACATTTTTTAATGAGTTCCATGTATCCCTGAAAGAAACAATTATTTAATATCAGTAAATATCTAAAACATAAATTTTCAAATACCATTTCACTTTAGGTTCAAAATTGAGTGTAAATATTCCGGGTCTGGGAATATTAATATCTTCCACAGTCACCTAGATAAAAGAAAAAAATGCTGATTTTTTTTATTAGAAAAATTTTATTACTAACTTGTTTATATCGTGCATAGAGATATAGAAGATCGTCTTTCGAAAATAGTGGTAATTCTCGTATACGAAAAAAAAAATAAAATTATTAAAGAATAAAATTGCACTATTTGTCAAAATATTGAATAGAGGATTTAGTTTCTAAACGAATTATACTCAAATTGAGGAAAGAAAAAATCGTTTAGCTTTTTTCTAAACAACAAGACTTATATTCATACTATTTAATTTTTGATTAAAATTTCCAGCATTTTTCAGTGTTTCCCATCACTATAAACTCAATTGTTCATCAATTTTTCTTCATCATATTTTGTTTGTATTTTGTTCATACGTTATCATATTCTAGAATATATACTTATAAAAATTTATGTATATTATATTACGTAGATAAAGGTTTAATTCATCATCACATTTTTCTTTATCCGTAAAATTCTATACTTCATTAAACTAACAAAAACTTAAATTTTTAATCAAAACCTAAAAAACTTAAATATGATTCTTCTGAAATAAAAAAAAGCAAAAAGAAAATTTCAAGACCAGTGTATCGAAAAGTGAAAGAGAAGATTTCTAGCTGTAATCTGGCTTAAATTATTTCCCAAATAATTTTTGTATTTAAGAATAAACAGGGATAGTTCGACCTAAAATGTGCTACTCCTATAATAAAAAAATTTCGAGCACCGTTGGAAAAGTGAGACGACGGTTTGAAAGAAGATCGTGTACTACGAAGTATCTGTTGTGATTTTCTGTAGAAATTTTGCTACTGAGAGAAAAGTTGATTTGAAAATAACTGGTCCTTAGCGATCCTATTTGTTACCTGCTCTTGTCGAAAATGAAGTTTTTAAAACTTAATATATTAAAGATTTGAACATTAGAGATAATTTGATAATAAATTCGATAATAATTGATGAAAGTTTTTTTATAAAAATGAATCTTGAAGTAATAGGATGCAACACTAGTTTGCTCAATCTTGTAAACCAAATATCTTAGTAAGAAAAAATGATGAAGAGTTTTTGAAGAGGTCATTGTGCGGAGAATGAACAATGCAACAAATTTGCTTATTCCGATTTCTATTTGAAGTTTTATCGAGAGAAAAAATAGACTAAAATAAAAAAGTTTGTAAAAGTGCAAAAAATACCCTTTAGTAACTGGCCTCTAACTAAGCCATTTTACATTATTATGGTCCGTATCCACAGCAAAAATGTTCAGCTCGTCGAGCTCGACAAAATAGGATGTTTAAAAACTTTTTATATTTTTGTTCAATGTATAACAATCTGGTACATCATAATGTGCAATTAATTCACCTTTAAGTAGGACCTAAAAAGAGAAATAGCAATGAAATTTTTGTAAATGAGATAAAAAGAAAATTGAACTTATTACCTGATCGTATCACTCCTTAAAATTTTGTGTTTTGTCGACATAGAATTCATTTGTCTTTTCTCCACTAAAAGTGAAAAAATCTCCTTTAGCTCCACCTTAACTCCGCTTCATTGGCTATTTTAGATATCGAATGTAAAGCTATTAAAATAAGTTCTTACTTGCGGCTATGATCGTCCCCCAAATATAACACAATATTAGTTTCTTCTAAGGAAAAATCATTAGTAGTACTATCTGATTTCATCCGTTCCTCTCGTTTTTCTGTTTCATTTTTTAATATGTTTGTCAATTCTATTTTAATTAGAGTTTCAATTTTTTCGTGTAGATCATTAACAATTTTGATATCCTCTTCATTTCCATTTGGAAAATCCCATAATCCATAAATTTTATTATGACTTTCTGACACTATAAATTTCTGATTTGAATGTGCATTTATCCATTCGAAATAACGATGGCATAAATAACATGGTTGTTTGGAAATTCCAAGTATAAAATTTCCGGCGTTGTTATTTCGTTGCCCACGGATAAATTTCATCATTATCAACTCAGCATGAGTGTAAATTGTGGTTTCTTTTCCATCTTCTATACTAGATAAATACTTTTGACTAATTTCTTGTTTTATATCTGTATAATCAGTATCATAGCCACAATCATGACATAAATCGTCAAAATATTTAAGTGGAGTGAGATTTTTAACAACACGACAATGTGATGATATGATTTGATACTGAACACTTTTAAATTTTGTGGTGAACGCCGGCAGCAATGAACATTCTAATACTTTAAATATTGAACGATTATGATTGCTTAATTTATTTAACAAACGATATATTATTCTGTATTGATCTGGGCTATCATCACGAATAAATTTGAATAGTAATTCATAATAATATAATACTGTGCATTTTACTTCTATACGATCGACCAATGTTGAGTCAGAAAGATTAGTTTTATTCTTTATTAAACTGATGAATTCTTCCAATGTTTCAAATATCTTTTCTATACATTTCCGTTGTGATAAATTATTTATTTGCATTACTGTACGTTCAACCGCAATCTTTGACAAATTCATTATCGAGATGTTATTTGAATCAATGTAATTAACAATATCAGTTTGTCTTTCTTTCAGTTGTTCCAGATCTATAAAAAAGCATTCAGAAATATAGTGTATGTAAGACGTTCAAGCGAATGGCTTACATTTCAAAGGTTGCTCATATTTTGGTTTCTTAAGTGTAAGAAGAATTTTTTTTCCTGTGTATTGGAATACTAATGATTGAAGTTTTTTTCGAACATTTTCTTTATCAACGGATTTTTGTGTGTCTGTGTAATTTTTTATGCATTGAAAAAAATCAGAAAAATACCTGTGATCAGTAGGAGTTACTGTGAAATTTCGACTGATATACAATCGGTTTTCTATATCGTGATAAAAAACACATGTTGCTTCTTCTTTTCTATTTAATAATAAAGCTAATAAATTTAAAAAATTTAACATGTTTCTTTGTTCTGATTTCCGTTTTTTGTTAGCATAAAATGGTAAATCTAAATCGTTCTTTTCTTGATCCTTTTTAGCATCAAAATTGATGCGGTTTAATAATCGCACTCCATTAAAAAATTCTGGAATTTTGGAATTTTGGTCTCCGGATTCCGATTTTTTGTCATTTTCTCGTAATGTTTTCTTTTTGGCTTTCTTTGAAGGAGCAGCACCAGCACCGACCAGTTGTATGCCAGTTAGCATCTTGTATTGTGCTTTTGAATTCAGTAATACTTTAACAGCTTGATCAATTTTGTCCTTCGAAAGAAAATGAATTTCAAAGAATTAATCACTTTCCAAAGGAATACAATATACCAGCGAATACATATACTCACTTTACTAACCTTGTTACTCTTCAATGTTCTTACAGTTGTACCCTGTTCATTAACTTCAGTTTTCAAAGCAATAGCTTCGTCACTATGTTCAGGAATTGGTATATTAAACAATTTACATGGTTTCTCTTGCGACTCATACGGCTGATCACATACATAATACCCTTTCCGTAGAATTCTAATATATTCGCCTCTTTTCAAGGTGGCCAAATCATGATCTCCAATCATTTCATACGCATACTAAACAGATGAAAAAATAATGATATTAAAGAACTAGGTCTGTTAGCTGTTTTCTCCCAAGATGCCCAACTCCATTTTCAATGATTTATATGCCGATCGATAGAGAATAGTGAGCTAGTAAAAACCCTAAAAGGATGAAACACTATTGAGTTTATATTGTAAAATGATATTTTTATTTTTCTCGATGACACGAATTTTTTGTAATACGTCCGACAAGAAATTCTTTCCGACAAATTTTACTCTTATACCGGCGAGATAGTTGGCCGTTATTCTAATAATGCAATAAAATCTCAACTTATCTCAACATAAAGATGTTATCAAATGAGCAAGAGAAAACAGATGTCTTTACCTCATTTTTTCTCTATTTCTTTTCTATTTTTCTAATTTTCAACAATTGAAGAAAAGTTGCGTTATTAGAAATACAGTGTTATTAGAATAACGGCCAACTATCTCGCCGGTATAAGAGTAAAATTTGTCGGAAAGAATTTCTTGTCGGACGTATTACAAAAAATTCGTGTCATCGAGAAAAATAAAAATATCATTTTACAATATAAACTCAATAGTGTTTCATCTTTTGCTGGGTATAGAATCATGTTTTTTGTTCATTACTAAATTTGACCTCAGTTGAAAAAATCCTGCATTTTCCGTAGAACTAAAAATTTTTATAAACTAGCAAATAATAGGAGTAGAAGGCTGAAACTTTCTGTGAAAATAGTAGACATTAATCATGGTTAGAACAAAAAAATTCAGCCTCTAATCACTTATGCTAACTGAGTTACAAAATTTCTACTGTTTTCAGTCATTACAGGGCAAAAAACTGAAAAAATTCGATAACTTTTGAAAGAAACACCATGGGGAAAAATCCTTTTAGGGTTTTTACTAGCTCACTATTCTCTATCGATCGGCATATAAATCATTGAAAATGGAATTGGGCATCTCTGGAGGTTCTCTCGTGAGTTTTAACCGTTGTTAAAAATCTCACCAAATTTCTTGACAATTAGATGACAATTAGATACGTCTCTTGAGGTTCGAGAAAAGAAGAAATGAATTGATCAAAACGAAAAATGTATTACATACTTTTGATGAGCAGTTGACAAATTTGAAAGTTTTATTGTCTTTTTCCAATGATGGTTTGGTCATTATATCATCAAAATGAACACTTTTTGTTGGAGTAAAGTTTGCTTGGCTTGTTTTGGCTAACCACGTCAGTTTTACTGTTTTTTTATAATCTTTATTGTCTGGTTGTGTTTCAGTTTCAATGGATTCAATTCTACCAACGTCTTTTCTTCAAATCAAATACACTTTTTCAATAGCAAAACGAACAAAGGGCAGCAATCACCGTTTTACTTACTTGTTGATTTTTACAATTTTAAAATTTCCCCAATTAATTAATGTAATAATTTCATTTTCATTTAATAATATTGCATCATCATGCTCAATTAAAATATTTTGACTGTAATAAACATTTTTATTTCCAAAAGTAGCATTCTAATATGAAAAAGAAAAAGAAAATTTAGAATGAATACTTAAATATCCATAAAACGTTACTTTAGCATGCTTGGGATGTTGTTGACATTCTTCATTTTGGACATTCGTCACTTTAACATCAACAAGATCTTTTTTATTTAATGCTGTATAATGTAGTGCTACTGGATTAATATATGTGTAATTGATAGCCCAAAGTTTATCCCAATCCATCAGCACAATTGGACATGACGAACCTTGTGAAGTTATAAACTGTTTTAAACCTTCCACGGTCATTCCTCGTCTCAAAATATCACGCACAGATAGCAAACGTACAGCATCCCAACCATCAACCATCTCTTCTTTAACAAACCATGTTAATTTAGACGGAGATAATACGGTATTGTGCGTATTTAAACATGTATATTCAATTATATATGGCTTACGCATACCTACGAAGAACATGTTCAATTAACAAAACTTTTAAAGCTACAAATCAACAAATCAGTTTTCAGCTAAAGGGATTGTCACATTAGAAGACCCTCCCTAATAGAAGATCCCACTTTCACGTAAAAGTTGAACTATAAGATCCAGACGCATAAATTTTTAGTCTTGTGGTTTTCATAATTTTCACAAATAAAAAAAATTTTAATTCCCTCTTTTAACGTTCATTTCTGTAAATGCAAGGTACAACGGGCACAGATGCAGTCACATGTACTAGAAAAAGTTCATTCTTCTGCACTCATACGTGATATACACACATGTGAACGTATATACAGTAAGAATGAAGCAGTTATTAATAATTTGAGATGGGAAAATATTTTTGTGGTTAAAAGAAATAAAAGATGAAAATAAGAAACTTCTCATAACAGAGAGTTGCGCAAGTCATTTGAGTCTAGCTGGATTTGAAAAAAGGATGCGAGGAGTTTCGTTAGCCATTATATGAAAAGGTTGTACACAATACATCCGACTGTTGGATGCCTACGTTTTTCAGTTTTTTCAAAATTCATTATTATGGTTGTATTTGAAAAGTAAATTAAAAAATGGTCCAAAATATAAAATTAAGCTGACAGCACAACAGCAACGGATTTTATGTATGCAGCTTACATCGGCAGCATCGAGCTAAATCATTGAAATCAGTCAAATTTTCAGAGGCAGTTAAAATGTTAGGTATACCTGGGGAGACGAAAGTCCGCCAATAGCTCCAAAACATTAGTTTGTACCGGAAGAGTCAGATCTTATATCACAGTCAGAAGCATTCGATGATAGATAGGACACTCTGACAAAGCATATAAAACCCTTTCAGTCCGAAATAAATACAAAAAAGCATATTAATCAATATTAGGCATGAAACGGTAACGGTAATTTACCGATTTATCGTTACCGTACCTTACCGGTAACCGTCTTATCGGTTTTACGGTTACCGTTTTAACGTTCGTTATGAATGCATAAGAAAATTTATTAGAAAGTGAGATTATGCAGAGAGTGTATTGATGTCGATATTTTAACGGTTTTTTATTTCTTCTTTGGCTTTTCTTTCTATATTTTATCACCTCAAAGAGTCAATAGATTGAAATAGTGTTTTCATTTCTTAAGAAACGAAATATAGAAAGAAAAGCCCAAGAAGAAATAAAAAACCATTAAAATATCGACATCAATACACTCTCTGCATAATCTCACTTTCTAATAAATTTTCTTATGCATTCATAACGAATGTTAAACCGGTAAGGTACGGTAAAAGCGGTAACGGCATGCATACCTAATCAATATGTGAAAAAAAATTTTTGTAAACATTTATAACATGTTTTTGGCATATGTTTTTGTTTACGCACAAACAATTATCTTTTTATCATCCAAGATTGAACGTTTCTTGTTATGCAAAAATTCGTTTTACATATTTGTAAACGATATGAAGATAAGAAAATAAAATTAAAGTAGTGAATATCCACAACAATTAACAGAAAAAGGTGATAAAAGTCAACTTACATATTGTACTAATTACAAGACCCTCTTTGGCAGAGACATAATATAAGATCTTCTTACGATCTCTATTCTTCCGAACAAAATAAAGACCAAGATCTTCTAACACGACATCCCCTTTACTATACTTCAGTTATATTAATTTCTTATGTTTCTTTCGGGAATTTTCTTCTTGTCTTGCGTCTAGAGACTTACCAAAGGCATTTAATATCCAATAATACTGCTCATTTCGATCATGATATTCTGTTGTACGTATAACATGTGTAACTATCGGAAAAAAGTATAATTCAATTAAAATGATTAGTATACTTTAAAACCTCTACCATAGTATACCTCCTTCTATACTGTCAACAATTGGACAAGCGAAATCGTATGTTGGATAAACTCTACAAAATGCAAATAAGCTTTGCTTTATATTATTAACGATAAAGGGAAGAATTCTAGCCTGATATCGATACATACTTATATTTTATACCAGTTCGAATATGTTCTTCAAGTTTACAACAATAAATTGTTGGATCACTCATATATCCTTTGTTTGAATTCATATCAATTTTTAGTCTAACACAACAGTTTTGACCATATTCATTGCCAATAATCATATCATTCCACACTTTTAAATTTTTTTCAACACCTTACATGAAAGAGAAAATAAATGTTGAACTATGTCTTCTACAGATCAAACTGGATTAAGCTCTCCCTCATAGAGAAGAGATGAACATGATCCGCAGCATGTCTTACTATTGTTTCGACTGATAGAATCTTGTCTGTGATCGCACTGCTCTTTCATTTCTTCTGGAGCAGCATCTTCACAATAAGCCAGTCCTAAATGAAGAAGGAAACGAGTGAGATACGAATGAGTAACAATGATAAACTAACAATTACCTTTGTCAATTAGTTGGCTACAATGATCAATTAACGCATCAAAATGGTCAGACATATGAGAAATACTATGATATTCTACACCAAGTGTCTGTAAATCTTCTAATATAACCTGGTTAGAAACAAAAATATTGTTTTAAGTTCAATATAAAGAAATTATATCTATTGCTTATACTTTTTCAAATTCTGCACTTTCTTTTGCTGGGTTTGTATCATCAAAACGCAGAATTATTTTTCCTTTATATGCTTGTTGATAGTATTGATTAACTAATGCAGCTTTAGCATGGTTAATATGTAAATAACTAAAAATATAGCGAATACTATCTTTGTTGAACTAATAAGAGAAATAACAAATACCCGCTTGCTTGTGAAGAAAATCTGAGAACAACTTCTCCCACTTTTGCATCAGGTAAATCTTCAAATTTCCCTTCCTCTTTCACTTTGAGTTGTACTGCCTAAAAAGATATTGCTAACTATAAATTTTGGTCTCCAATCTAAAAATGTACATCGTAAAAGAATTTTTGACACTTTAATACAAATACACAAGAATTTTATCTACTCTTCTCACATTAGAAATCCGTAAGCAATAAAAATTATTGTACTGCAAAAAAACGAATGAGAATCTCATCAGTTTATCCACAAACTAGCAAGAAAAAGTAAAAGGAAGAGCGCTCTCTGTCAATGCTTTACTTCGGCAAAGTACGGTTAATTGGGTAGTACATCTTTTTAACTTAATCGATAAAGTAACATGTAATACTATACTTCTTAAACACTGTAGCTCATCACATACATCTTTGCTTTCTGTCGTTTGATTATGTGTTCTCTCATTTTCCGCTAATGGTAGTTGCCGTTTAAGTGCTTCATAATATCTTTGAAGATTCACCGGAACATTCGGTTGATATTGATATAGTGGATTAGCTAAATAAAATTTTTCATAATGAACAGACTGATTAGACCTAAATATTATTCCGGTTGTACTAACTATATAATGCACACCAAACAAAAACATCAGCTAATGTTAATTTATAACCAACAAGGTATGTGATAAAGGATAGACTTGTATTTAAATAATCAATAGCTGTTTGAAATGTTTTATTACAATTAGAAGATAAACGTAATTCACTAAAGTCAATCCAATGATCAATCTAAACAAAATTATTAGATGTAATCCAAAACATACTTCGAATATAGAATGAAATCCAAACATACTTCGCGTTGTTCAAGAATTGTTGAACCATATAAGTGGCCGGTTTTTTGCGCTAAATAACGACATATTTCTGCTTCAGATGTCAAGCAAACATGGCTACAAAATTCAACAAATACATCACATAAAATGGAAATAACAACAGTACATTGCCTAACCTATCGAATTTCAACCGTGTTTCTTCTCCGTCTTTAATTTGAAACGGTAAATTTTTGTCTAACATACGAATAGTCAACACGATAGCTATTAGAAAAAAACAGACATAAATAAATAATGCGGGGAAAAAAGTGCCTGTTCGGGACATACCAATATCAGAATTGTTCAAAATGAGTTCTAGCGGAGTCATTGTTCCAAAATGAAAAACATTTAATACATAGAACTTTTAAGAAATATTTCTATTTATATCTATATCAAGAAAAAACACGAACGTATTTAGCAGAATAACACTGTGTTTGAGATGAGAAGATAATAATGTCATCGTTTTTAGAATAAACCTGGTTGTATTCTTCGGTTTTACATTCTTTGACGACAGTGCTCCCGTGAAATGTTATGACATGATCTTTTATGATCCTGTAAGAAGTCACAAGAACTAACAAGATCATTTAGAAATAGAACAAGAATACCTTCTATTCTATCTCGCTCCAGTCGTCCATCCAAGAGCACCAGTGTTTTTAACAGGAATGTTAAGCAAAGTGGGTTTCCACAGTTACCACTGCATTTTCCATGTTTTCCCTGCTAAAAACAAAGTGAAAATCGAATTTTCAAAGTGGAAACCCATTTTGCTCAAGCGACACCCACTAATCATTAAAAACACTGAAGAGCACCAATGTGGCAAGGTTTCCAAGCGCTCTATCGCTTGATAGATGGAAGAGAGTTTTCGATCACTTCTCCATGATGAACAGCATAACGCTGAAATCTGAAAACAGCAGCAGTCCTCGGAGCATGATTGTTTGATTCTTCCACCTCGAGAAAATTTTAAGTTTTATATATCTACTAATACTTGAAGGAACTAATGAACAAGCCGTCGCAGAATATACATTATAATTAAGAGAGATGAAACTTGAATCTCGTTTTCTTTAAAATGATCAGACTTCTTGCTTTGAGAACTGCTGGTATTTTAGCAGAAGTCACTGTGTCACAGACAAACAAGAGGAATAGAAAACAATAGACAGATTTCAGTTGTTTAATTTCTAATATAAACTGAAACATAGTCTAGATATCAGTGGATTACTCTGTTGCCTTTTTACTAACTAGCATGATAAAAAAAAACAAGTAGTGTGCCACTGAAGCCGTAAGGAAAAAGGTGTTACGCAATCCCAATTGAGAAGTCCGTGAGTGATAAAATCAGGCTAGACGAAAAAATTAAGCGAGCTAGCGCGACTTGACTGAAGCTATCACAACACAATGGTGTATCACGATGATAAAAATAGTTTCATTGGTTTAAAACAAAAACCAATAGAAATTCGTGGACGCAAGAAACATAAGCAAAGAGGATTGAACAAGGGTTAATAACAATATCATATGAAAATTATTATCAGCAATAAAAGTGGCTGAAATAATATGAATACAAGAAATGTTCTCCAGTTTTAGTAATCAACGTTAATGTGTCAGTTTAGTTCGACGTCATAAGATTGTCCATCAACAATCTATATAGTACATTCATTTCGATACCTTGATAACAACTTTTCCAACGTGTTGCTGTGACCATTGATATTCATAAGCGCTCTTCAAATCTTCGAATTCAAAAACCCTGTCAACAATTGGTTTAATATTATGTGTCTCAATAGCGGCATTCATCGCGTTGAATTGTTCGGCGCTACCAACCATAACTCCATGAACGTGGGCATTCTTTTTCTTTGTACCCATATAAACTTCTGTTCCACTCATGCTGGAACCGCTGCCTTGGCTAAGGAATCGAATGAAGCCGATCGAACCGCCGAACGCAAGTGCTTCAAACGATTGCTTCAATGTCTTTTCACCACCGACTTCAAGAATATGATCGACTCCTCGTCCACCAGTCAGTTCTTTAGCTTTCTTACCCCATTCTGGAGTTTCAGAGTAATTGATCGTCGAAATGTTCTTTTGCCCAAGAAGCTTCTTGACTGTCGCGATTTTATCGTTGGATGACGAAGTCATGATAACTTTGGCGCCAGCTGCTAATGCAAATTGTGCACCAAAGAGACTAACTCCACCGGTACCTTGAACGAGAACGGTTTGGCCTGGTTTTAGTGCTTTGTCGGAAACGCCGTAAAGAGCGTTCCATGCTGTTAATGCTGCACAAGGCAGTGTCGAGGCCTCTTCGTAGGAGAGCGAGGATGGAATCTTGACACAGCTGAGAGCTGGGAAGACACCGTACAGACGAAGACAACCGTTAAGTTCGCCTCCAAGACTTGATGCACCTGCTTCTTCTGTAAGTTGTCCTCCGATGTGACCTTGGATAAAATTGGGTGAGACTCGATCGCCAATTTTGAGATGTATAACGCCTTCACCCACTGCTGTAACTTCTCCTGCTCCATCAGATACCGGTACGATTTCTGGTTTCACCGAGAATGGATACTTCCCGTTACTGATGACCAGATCTCGATAGTTGAGAGAGCAGGCGTAGAATTTGATTTGGACTTCGCTTGGACCTGGTTGAGGAATC